GGGGCTGATTGGGCGAGGTGATTCAAGAGACCAGGCAAGGTCTGCTTAGGGAGACGGTGCTCGTTTAGAAGCCTGCCTCCGGGGCTCTGAGGTTTGGATCGTCGAGAGCGACGCGTACTCTCAGCGAAGACAAGGACAAGGATGAGCGGGGCGAAACGCGGTCACGTCAAACTAAATGGAACGGAAGAGTAGAGTTCCTGAGTGGGATCTCCCGGGTAAAAAATTATGTGAGATTCACTATTCGACCGGCTGACCTCGTTGGATTTCTTCATTTTCGAGACACCGATACTACCCCGTCAGATGTACTCGTGACACAGGTTCCCATCTCCATTTTCATGTCTTCCCGTTCGTGGTTCACGCAAGAGAATCGCTCTGAGCGTGGCTTCGCGCCTGCCTACAGCGGGAGGCTGCCAAAAGAGCACTGCAAAAACTTCTACCGAAACACGAGCCCTCCAAACACAACGATGTGACCTTGAGGAGTGCTGCACAGATGTCATGTCAGCGACGAGAAGTGCCTTCCAAAATGTAGATGATCCGGGTTCCATACTGGATTTCGTTTCAGGTACTACGCTGACAGCTGCGAGAACTGTTTTTTTTAGCACGCAGAGCGAGTCCTCTGTCGGAAGCCTTCCTATCGCCGCCATGATGCCTTTTCACAGAGACGATCCAAGGATCAAATCTCAATTTCCCCGAGAAGGATGATGTGTCATATTCAGACTTGGCGTTGGCCTTTCGAGATTCGAAGCGAAAACATCCCGTAAACCCCAATGGCATTCACATCGGCGGAGCATCGTCATTTCGAGCAATGTCACGGTTGAGCAACAGAGATTCCCATCTTCGTCCAAGATTAGGTCAAAAAAGTATGTACCTACACGAGAAAGGAGAGAATCGACGGAGGCATACCATTCGAATGTACATCGAAGATTTCCGTTCCACGGCCATCTATCCAAATTGAGCTCGACGTTTCCCAATTCGGAGAGGAATCACTCCGACGAGCTCCAATTGCATTCGCACTAGTGACCGATCCAGTCGCATGCGCTGTGTACAGAAGCAGGAGACTCATTCGGATTGTGACATTCGGCTGAGTGTATTCCCTAGGTTAGAACATCGACGTCTAATGGAATTTGCTGTGCAGAAGAAAGTCCGAGGATGCTCGGACGGCACAGGAAATCGCATTCTTCATCCTTGTTTTATGGAGAGGTCGGAAATGTCTCCCACAGGAAAATAAAAGGGAGAAAGACATACAGAATAATTCGGTGATAGTGAGCTCTTCCATGGTGGTATTACGAGCTACGAGTGGAATGAACCAGCTCTTATGAACTGTATTCGAGGCCCTGTTGTTCCATCGCCCGCACAAGGATTCCGCTCATAGAAGAAACTTCCTGCCGGCCCCGCGAGGTCCACTGTAAGGAGACTACACCATACAAGAGCTGCCGTATGCGAGCATGCCTCAACTTCTGTCGTTTTTTTCATTCCGGACGCGACGTTTTCTTCTAGAAGAGAAAATGTTCTGACAAGCCTGGGCGACATTCACATTAGCAAAGCATCCTGTGACATTCGGTCGTCGGAGCTTCTCCACCACATCTCACATTGCTTGCTGATGCCGTACGTCAGAGTAACTATCTGATTTCCGCGGCTGGGAAGGTACAACGAGACCGCTCGAAAGACTCTCATCCCACCAGACGTCACGGAGTAAAAGTACTGGACTCATACCAGCTAGAAGAGCCTAGTCGGTGTTCTACACGGGCATGTAGATCCAAGATTCAAGAATCCATTCGGTCAAGTCTCTCAAAGATCCCCGGGTTCCCCAATCGAGCTGGAAACTTCTGTATTCTGGTCTTTAGGTGAAGCCCCTCCGTTTCTTTGGACACTCACACCCCAACTTATTGAGCCCCCCTCCATGTTAGCGTAGAACTACGCTTTAGCCCCCGGTAGGTGGACAAGATGGGGTGCGAATCGTGAAAAATGGTCACAAATGTGATCGTCGAAATCCTCTAAAACTAAGCATTGCATGAGGAAAAGTGTCATGGTCAAATATGTGTGACTTGGTGTGAGGCATCGTCAGAAGGTCATCCTGAACTCGAAAATCCTTCCTTCAGGTTGAAATAGGCCATAATGTAGGCTCCGATTCAAAACACTCGAGAACCACGCATCCTAGCACAAATATCATGATGGCAAGAAATGTTCAGCTTCGGCAGTTTCCATCAGCTAGACGATAGCGGCTCGATTCCGTCACTTACTGACGAAGAAAAAGGCGTTCTCACTCTTTGGAATCCAATCGTGCCTTCAAAAACACAATTTGCTCCTGCAGAAACATTTGAGCGAAGTGTCCGCATTCTCTGATGGGTAAAACTATGATTGCACGCGGGATCATGATTTTCATTATGGTCAAGAATGAAAATTCAAGGATATCCGCGACGGGTCGAAATGGCGTCTCTCATTCACACGAAGTTATCTCATCATTTCATGGCGAAAACGATTTTCACTGTGAGCAGATAGCAGATACTACCTCATGGTATGGTAATTCTCTCGTCCGATTATGTCGCTTAATGTCACTACCTCAAGCGTACCAATTGCTATTCCAGAAATTCTTGAACGATGTATTCCAATTATAAAATCGAAGTGAGAGGCCAGTGCAGTAGAGCTGACGTCGATGATTTGGAAAGCCCACTCCATCTCTGGGAGTTAAGAGAGAGCAGAGCAGTCAGAAAATTTTTTCTAATCTTATTCCGGGACAACGTCGACTGGAATTATGATGGCAGTGGTAAACCCCAAGCCTACGATTCATTCCATATGTACTTCAGTCTACGTACTCCAGTTCCGTCAACCTTCTGGTTGTTACGTTTTGTGGAACAAAGATTCGGACCCGTGAGGCGTTTGGAGGAGGAAGCCGATTGGGAAAAACTCAGGTCAGAAGCTCTTGATGTCACATCATACTTCGAGGAGCCAACTCAGAAGGAATAAGAGGAAACATTCTGTCCCGGCGAAACATGAATAAGTGCATTTTGAACCAATGCGGAACATTACGCCGTTTAGGACGAGCATTGCATGGTATTACAGTAAAAGCTCGTTATAACGACCCCCATTACAACGAATTTCTCGTGATAACGAACAAGGAATTTCTCCTGCTTTGCCTAGCTCGCCATAGGGATAGTGTCGAGCGGCATTCGTTACAGCGAAAACTCGGCACAACGAACCAATTTCGTCGGTCCCTTCGTCTTCGTAGTAACGAGCTTTTACTGTATACATATATTTCTCATTGATCCCGGGGCGAAGTACGGGCACCAATTATTTCTCTATGCATAGCGTAAGGCTCAATTAGCCTGTTTCCATGACGTCACACCCTCTCATAATTTGCTCGGAAACCTATTCACGGGAGTTGAGGAACGGTATTCAGTACGGTCTGAGCTCCTACTGCATTTCAGACAAATGCGAAGCATCACACCGTTTAGGAACGAGCATTGTTT